ATATCTGACCCTTACAGGGTTCGAACCAAAAAGCTCGTATCTCCAAATGGGAATGTTGGGCAGCAAGCTAATTGATAAAAGAATTTGGCTATCTGAACGCACGAACATGAGTCAGGTGGTTCTAGGATTGGCTGATGAGCTTTGCCACAATGAAATGAATAGGCCACACGATTCCACTGGATTTTGCCTCCCTATTTCGGGATGCCTACTCATCTGATTCTATGAAAATTCATCTATCACCTGGGATGACTAAAATTCTTGTTCATGATCTACTGCTAACTTATGAAAACTAATAAAATTGAATATAGAGTTTGCCAAATGCATATGATAATTATGAATCCTGGCAACCTCCACGGAGAATCTCACCCTGAGATTCAGCGGTTCATCGACAAAGATTTAGTCTCAGGAAGAGCAGGTTTTGGACTCGCGTCCCGTTTGGAGACTGAGAAGTCGTAAAGTGTAGGACCCGATGGATGAGATGCTATTTTGAGGATAGTTTAGACGAACTATATGTACATGCACACACACACACACACATTCAAATACAGTCAATCCCCTTATGCGTATAGATGAATGTGAAAATATGCAAGCCCTTTGCTAGTTTTTCTCATGAAGTAGATGGAAACCTATCATCCACGTGCTCATAAGTCTTAGTTGCTGCAAGATTATATCAAAACTCAGTTTTCTCTTTCGATATGATAGAAAGTATGACTAATGGAGAAGCTATTGGTTCAGCAAAGCAGTATAATATTCGGCATGTTTCCGTCCTCTGTTGCCCGAGTTACTGCGCATTATTTATGTTTCTAGAAAGTTTAATTATTCTACGAAGCATATCTCTCCAATTGTCCATTTATAAGTATCTTATTGTACTTGGTTCAAGTCAGAGCAGACTCGACGTTAAAGCATAGGCCTCTTCTAGTCAGCTAAATATAATGCGCATTCAGAAACAGCTAAAGTACTAATCTATATTAATTCATACGGTTACCGTGGTCGATCAATTGCTCATCTGCTCATAATAATATTAGAAAGCTTAAGTGAATTCCTTGTTAGGAGAATATCAGAAATGCATGAATCCTTAATTATCATAAGAACTTAGTCACAAGAGATTATTCTACCGCGTGTAGGGCGAATTGTGCGAAAGAGGAATAAAAGAATGCTGTACCATAAAAAAACTGGATAGCTCTAGAATAGAGCTATTGTTAATGCCTTTTGGCTTCCCTTACTTGACCAATATCTGTACTCACTAAAAGCACTAATGCGGTCATGCCTCCCTATAAGATATGAGGAAAAACTTGGTTTTGAGAAATGCCTCAATGATATAATGTGACATGACTTTCCATTTCGAAGGAACGGCGAGCCAAGGACTTCTTCACATAGTCCACCAGTCTTTACCCCGCGGCAATCCTCTTCCGGTTTCAGGTTATACCATTTCAAGAATTCTTTCCAACCAACTTTTTCTTGAAATGATAAGTCAAGTCACAATGCCTCCTCATAGTTCATTTTGGCTGTGAAAGTAGACCAAGTATTCTAAAGTTTTTTTATGATTGCAGTTAAATGATTTTTCCACTACTCAGTGTATGATGAATGGACTAGTGCATTTTACTGTTAGCTAGAATTCGCCTCTCATTGGTCCCCTTTGATGGAATTTTCGAACACGTTAATCATGATAGAGATTCGTTGGTATTCAAAATAGCAATCGTAACCATATTTTATTGTTCACTATTGATTCGATCATTTGAGTATGGCTTAAAGTTGTAATGCTGATTACTTTCACCACCTATTTCAGTGTCCATGAGGCAAAGTTCGTCCACGATCGTCAGTTTACCATTCTTCCCCAACTTAGTTACCTCGTTCTTAGTCGTACTAACTTTATATGCATGAAAAAATGCTGGGCTTAAAAGAATTTCTGTGTGATTCATTGCGACTTGGCTTTTTATCACGAAGGAAAAGTGGGTTTGAGACAGTTCGTTGATTGGTCTTACCGGAGACGAAATGGAGAGGATTTCTTTGGAGTGAAGAAGCCTTCGGCTCACCATCCAGCGACTCCAATGAATTCGGGCTGATATGTCACCTGTCACACCGTGAAAGACACAATCTGTTCAAGAAACTCCATTTCACGAAAAAACCCACCAATATATTAAACTAGACTTACACATTTCGTATAACTTGTGAAAAGGACCCATTTCAGGAGAGACCAATGCATGAATTCCTCACTACCAACGTTTCCGAGTCACACTTTAAAACCATATGAATGATGATAATTGCTTTCCTTTGGAGACTATCACTAATTCATAGATAGGAACTGAATCGTTAAAGGCGATTTTCGAACACGTGAATTTCATGTGCCTTTCAAAGGTTTTCTGCGCCCCGACTAGATTGCAGATTCGGCTCTGTATTGGCCCCCTCAGTAGGTCAAACGATTCCCGAACCTTGGTCGCATCAACACCCATTTTCAACTTTGCCAGGCACGAATGTTACTTTGAAGACAAGACAAGTCATATATATATATATACTATAATTGCATTTTCCATTATTTTCTTATTATCTATCTTCAATACTACGTTCAGGATCATCCTCCCTAGTTTCTGGTGCAAGTACTTAAGAGTTTGCATATCATGTAGGATAGAACTGGATTGTCGTATATATTTTATGTTCACTTGAAGCTTTGGTAAGAATTAGTTTGAGCTTCCTTCAATTGGCATGAACGACAGAGGCCCAGCCCGTATTCACACAGACCGAGGGAGGATGTCTCCTGGACTGCGTCGCCCTGGATGGCGTATTAAAGACAAACAGCTGCAGAACTATGGGAATCAGCTGTTGGCTTTCGGTTTCTGCATCATGTTTTTTAACACGAAATGAAAGTCTTCACAACAATGAAGTCTCATGAGATTAATCGAATCCCGGTATTTCCTTGTATATACAACATTGGCAACTAAAATTTATTTGCAATGCGAGAAGACGTCAAAGGTATCAGTAATTATTGAATAAGAACCTTAGTCGGCTTAAGTAACGAAAGGTGAAGCAAAGGAACAATGAAATGAGTTAAGTGATCTGGCATGAGCAAATTTCTTGTGCAAGCATTATTCAATCTGATAACAGGATGTGATAATTGCAAATGCGTAAGCCCCGAAAGCTAGAATTATCGCCACTTTTGAAGTTAGACTAACAACCGCGTCTCTCTGAGCCCCGTTTGGGCTTGCCTTTAAGAAGATTTGATTCGTAATCCCATACACCTTCTGCAACCTTAATTCTCAAATCTTCTTCATTCATCTCCTATCTGCTTATCCAGGCACTCGGTCTCCTATCCTACAGACCAGCTAAAACCACTCGGTCTTAGTCACCCTATCCACCATGCTCGAGCAAGTAGCCGCATGACCGGCTTTGAATGTATGCTTGCACGTGTGCAACAGCCTCTTCGAGACCGAAGGAAAGGTGATACAGAACTAGTAGATCGGGGATGTACTAGGTTAAAGGGGGAATAAGAGGAATGTCACAAATGCTAGAGGAAACATTGATCGGTCTGGTTGATAAGTGCTGACCGCTAAGTCGGCGAAATGTCTGCGAATGTACCGGTCAGCGGTACATGGCAAAATGGCAGACGACGCAATAATGGCATGTTTTTTAAATTTCCGTCAAGAACGGAAATACATTGTGACAAGAAGGTCCAATCATCGTAATACTAGGCAAGGAGACTGCAATCTCAAGTTGGCCTTCATTTATTGACTTTAGACTATTCACATGTCGTTGTGGGAATGAGAGAAAACCAGTGCGATTTCGAAAACAGCATAGCCTCATAAGCCCTCCCGGTTAGTCTCGAGCCTAGGAAAAGTTGGCATGTGGATATGTACATTTCCGTCTTGTCAAGCGAGCAATGTGCCTTGCGGGGCTGAAGACGTGAATTCTAAAGTTGTCTCTTATTTGCGGCCGAAGCATTTTTGACAGACAAAGAAGACGAGATACCACAAACGCTTAGCAGAAAGTTGGTCAAGCGATGAGCTTCCCTTGTCCCTTCGACAAGTTGTGACTTGATGTTTAGAGCGGCGACATTCACGAATGATGCCGACTGAGATTCCAGCAACAGGTCTGAGAATGTACCAACTCCACGGTCTAGCTCTTCGTCCAGCTCGTCCGCCTGGAGGATCCTAGTTACGAAGGCTTGTCCATCTTCAATGGAGGCAACAGGAACGTCAAGTCAAATCGCCAACATCGGACTGCAGAGTGTTTCGAGACCGGTGAATCTATAAAGCGACCAAGTTGTTGTGCAATGAGTCTAGCAACGACTGAGACTTTCTGCAAAGTAGATACTAAAGTCCGGGAAATTGGTGTTTCACAGTGCTAGTCAATCTGGTCCTCATAATGGGCATGAAGGAATCGAATCCGGGTGGTGCAGCGCTCTTAGTTTCGGCATGGTACCACTGCGCCACACTGCCAGTGGGTGTCAGTGGGCCAATGAACGCCTTGTAATGGGAGTGTTAAAGAAGCAAATTTGCATTTTCTATGACAATCGATCACACTACTTATATGCAAAATGAGTAGGCTAAGATACTACCGGTCTATTTTGAATAAAATTCGTATTCACCCTTGGCCGCATTATGTCACCAGCTGGCATCAGTGACAGGTTAAAGCTGCAGTCCACTCCATCCGGAATGAGATCGGCTTTCGGGAAGCAGGGCTATGGCTAATAGGATTCTTATTCAAGATCTACTGCCAGTCCCAAATTCTACTTACTGCGGGTACAACAAAGTAGTCAACTATCTGATCAGATGATTGAATGCAGCAGGAGAGAGATGGAAAAAGGAGGGCAGAAATAACAGGAGGATAGGGAGAGTAGTTAAGCCAACCCATTGGGCTTGTTGTGAATCTCTGGCACCAACTAGGACCATTATCCATCAATTAGCACTGAAGTGGACTCGAGTCAAACGCTTTACTGATTCACTATTTACGGTACATTTCTTTCTTATGCTTCTTTTCATGACAATTCAATCATTTATGAGAAATTATTAGTTTGTACTTGGGCTATTCATTGTCTGCGCAGGCAAACGTGCGCCCTCGGTCAGAAAGTGGGAAACGAGCACTTTGTTCTTAGAAGAGAATTTCGCTAGAAGACGGTTCCATAATGTCACCGTGACAACGGGGGGGACGCCTCTTTGGGGTGCCGCAGACAAAGGGACGGTGGCTCGCAATTGTAACCGGTTGCAGCTTGACGACTTACTCAATGCTTCCATGGGCCTTCAAAGTCTAAAAATGAACTCCTTCGTGAATTAAATGGGATGTTGGAGGTGTATTTCTCTCTTCTCTTTTCTCATATCCCTGAAGCGGTTGTGTCTACAATGTTTGGAGAAGGAGTCTTTTGTGCACTATATGACAAAGGGTCATAATTATGGTCTATTGGAGTCAGTTTGGCCGAAACGATGGTGAAAAGTGGTAGTAGACCACAAAATCATGCCCAAAACTCAGTTTTTGTCCCTTGTTTTAATGCTCCTTGCGCTTAGGCGAGGCAAAAATTGCCTCCATCTACTCTGAAAGGAGTACTTTGTGCTAATTAGTGAACCATCGTCATAGCCGAAGTTTTCGAAAACAAATAAGTGCGCTTCTCGATTTGTGACGAAACTTTATGGGCCGATTGAGGCTATCGATGGAACG